ACTTGCCCCGGGTCCCTTGCCTCTGGAATTGCCATCCGCCCGACCCGCGGTGTCCCCAGCCTCTTCCCCCCAAACACCCGATTCTTTGGCCTCTATGACTCCCTTGCCACGCATCGTGTGCCCAGCCACTAGGGTCTCCGTACCCCACAGTCCCCAGTCCCCCTCTGATCCCCCAACTCCCCACCCCGCACTCGATCCGGTAACCCGTCGCGGCGCCTTCTTCCCTTGCAGTGGCAGGCGATTTCCCTGACCGTCATCGAGAAGGTGCAGATCGCAGCCATCATCCTGGGCTCCCTCTTCCTCATCGCCAGCATCTCCTGGCTCATCTGGTCGTCCCTCAGCCCCTCGGCCAAGTGGCAGCGGCAGGACCTGCTCTTCCAGATCTGCTACGGCATGTACGGCTTTATGGACATTGTCTGCATAGGTGAGAGCCCGGCCTGTCAGGTCCCCCCACTCCAGCCGTGGGCTCCCTGACTTCCCCTGTCCACCCATTCTGGATGGAGCTAGCCAGCTCACGCCAGAGCAGTAACTGAAAGGTGAATCCACCTCATCCCCCCACCCTCTGCTGCCCAATGGCCTCCTCACACCTCCCCCTTCGGTTTGGAGGTGCACCATGCTCGGTTCCCATGGCGATGGGTAGGGCGGGACCATCAGAATACAGAGGCATGTTACTCCCCCGCTCCGTGCCTCGGTTTCCCCTTCTCTGTAAGACTGTACGCTCATCAGGGCAGGGCCGGGCTCGTCTCCGTATGGCACCTAGCACAGTGGGGTCTTGGCTGGGATCTCTAGGGACTCCTGCTGTAAACGGGCATCCCTCGCTGGCAATAAAGCCCCACCTGATTGCAATGACGCCTGCTAATTAAAAGCGAATGAAGCGGACTCAGGGCTGGGACAAGATCGGCAGCGTTCAATGATGGGCTCTGCAGGCAGCAGAGACGAGACGATTACCGGCTGGGGCTTTGTGGCTGGAATGATGAGACACCAGCTGCAAACGAAGGGATGGACGGTCCATTTCCGATTGAGTCAGCGGCTACGTGTGTCCCATTGTACCCGCATTCGGGAACGCGAGAGGTCGGACTCGCAGCCAAGGGGCAGGATCCCGTGATAGTGAAACGGGAGAAATGCTACTTAGAAATGTTTTGGTGCCTTCCCCATGTGCGAAAAATGTACAGTAATAGGCCCTGTTACAATCAGGAATAACAATTATCAGATAGAATAATAGGGTAGAATAATAATTAATAGATAATAACAAAAAGCAATGGTTATAGCTTAATAATACTCTAATAAAATAATAACTAGAATAATTAATTGATAATTCTAATAATGATGACTGATATTCTAGTATAATAGATCATGATAATTATATTGCAATAATCTAATATTAAAATATTAACATAACAAATGGCTAGAATGATAATGCATACACACTAATAACAGCATTTTAATAAAATAATACTTATAGTTTAATAATATAATAAAACACTTAATAGCTAGAATAATCAATAGGTGGAATTAAAAATAAGAATGAATAGTCAGCCAGCCCATTCTGAAACGATTGTTTATTTATATTACTGTTATGCCTGCGGGCCCCAGCTGAGAACATCAGGCTCCATTGTGCCGGGTGCTGTACGTCCATATAGCAAGAGAGAGTCCCTGACTTAAAGAACTTACAACCTGCATAGACAATGGGTGTCAAGGGAAACTGAGGCACGGACAGGGGACGGGACGTGCCCAAGGTCACTCGGACGGGCAGCGGTAGCACTGTCCGAAGGAGCGTCTCAGATTGCTGAGATGGAAAGCCCTTGTTCGCCTTCTGATCGTAGGGGAGGTGATGTGGTTATGTAGTAGCCAGGTCTGCAGGCTGAAGGACGTGTGTCTGCAGCCTCCCAAGCCCAGGGCCTGTTTCTCCGTTGCCCTGGTCCTTGTGCGACACACAAGGGCACAGCCAGTGTAAAACGCTGTTGTGATGTGGGCGGTGTGAATGGCTGCACCACATGCAGGGCAGTGGAGAACCTTGTGGGCGCTCGCTCCCCTCGGGTCATGGAGCACCAGGGAGGGATTCCGGCAGCCAGCACCGGTGCATATCAACACCCTGTCCAGAAGTCTCTGCTCATTAACGACACTGCCTCCTTGGCAGAGGGGAGGTCTCTGCACGGAAACAGGGCGGGGAACCCACACGCCCACCATGCCCAAGAGTCCGTTCAGTCACGGGGACTCCCGTCATGGGAGCAGTATGCCCACCCAGGCCAAGCAGGGCTCAAAGTGAAGGGCCCCACCCCGTTTCCGAGCCCAGCCACTGGGCCAGGCCTGTGCACATTTAAGCGAGACATGCCATGGCTGAATCAGCAGTGGGCCCTTGTTGCCACGAAGGCTAATGGCATTAGTAGGAGCATTGCCAGCAGATCAAGGGACGTGATTATACCCCTCTATTCAGCGCTGGTGAGGCCACACCTGGAGTACTGCGTCCAGTTTTGGTCCCCCCACTACAGAAGGGATGTGGACAAATTGGAGAGTCCAGCGGAGGGCAACAAGAATGATTAGGGGGCTGGAGCACATGACTTACAAGGAGAGGCTGAGGGAACTGGGATTGTTTAGTCTGCAGAAGAGAACAGTGAGGGGGGATTTGATAGCAGCCGTCAACTACCTGAAGGGGAGCTCCAGAGAGGGTGGAGCTCGGCTGTTCTCAGTGGTGGCAGATGACAGAACAAGGAGTAATGGTCTCAAGTTGCAGTGGGGGAGGTTTAGGTTGGATATTAGGAAACCCTATTTCACTAGGAGAGTGGTGAAGCACTGGAATGGGTTCCCTAGGGAGGTGGTGGAATCTCCATCCTTAGAGGTTTTTAAGGCCCGGCTTGACAAAGCCCTGGCTGGGATGATTTAGTTGGGGTTGGTCCTGCTTTGAGCAGGGGATTGGACTAGATGACCTCCTGAGGTCTCTTCCAACCCTAATCTTCTGTGATTCTATGGCGACGGGCCTAACCCCAAGGTAGTGCTGGTCTCCAAGGGGTCGCACCTGTCAATCTAGGCCCCATCTGCAGCCAGCCCCGCTGGCCCCAGCCTTCCCTCTCCCAAACACCAGGCCTCCCCATGCCCTCCCCCAGAAGCTTGCAGTTGTCCATGGAACCTGGAGGGAATTAGGGGTCCAATTCCCACTGGGATCTGAATAGCTGGGCCCTGGCATTTTCCAGGGCCACATTGTCATGAGTGAGTTCCGAGCCCTGGCCGGCCACCATCTCGAGGAACCTGTTTGGCTGCCTGCCCCAGGAGGTCTCACCTCTCTCCCCCCCGCCACTTCTCTCCCCTAGGTCTGATCATTCACGAGGGCTCCTCGGTGTATCGAATCTTCAAGCGGTGGCAGGCAGTGAACCAGCAGTGGAAGGTGCTGAATTACGACAAGGCCAAGGACCTGGGGGAGCCCGTTGGCAGCGGGGCGGCCAAGGCCGGGGGCAGGAATTCACGGACGAACCCCTCCTCCGGGAGCGAAAGGAACCCCCGGCGGGGTCAGCGGGTTAGAACGATTTTGAACCATCACTGTGGCTACACCATCTTGCACATCCTCAGTCACCTGCGGCCGAACGAGCCTCGCGGGGGCGCCAGCTCTGGCCGGGAGGTGGTCATGAGAGTGACAACTGTATAACACCCCCTGGCCGGCGGACGGGGGGGCTGGCGCGAGGAACGCCCCGGAGAGCCGCTCCTGCAGGGGGGGCTGCATCCCAGGGAAGGGCGCATGCCAGCAGTCTCCGCCCCACTGTTTCCACCTCATCTTCCTACTCTGGGGGCCGCCCTCCCCGCGTCTCGGCCCGCACCCGGCTAACCTCCCATCAATGTGAAAATTCCTGCGGGGGAAGGGACCGGGCTGGCCCCTTCCTGCTGGCATCCCTTGCAACCCCTCCCTGATTTGGGGGATGGGAGAAGATTATCGACCCCCCAGCGACGACTGATCCAGGGGGCGGAGAACGAACGTGCTTACCTCATCATCGGTCAAACAAAAATCCGATCAACCCTTTCCAGCCCCAACTCCCCGCCCACCCTGCCGTGAGTCTCCGCCCCGGAGACGCCAGCTGGAAAGGCTCTGAACTCCTCGTCCCCCCCCCCAAAAGGTGCAATAAACACATTTCTAAAGCAAAATGGGATCCGGCAATAAGATACCTGTACGTTTCATCTTTAATTGAATGCATGAGAATCTGTCTCCCCTTTCCCTTCTCTCCTATCGTGGGAGGATAAAGAATCATTTATATGCAAATGGTCGGCTACAAAGCCATCTCTCTCTTTCTCTCTCTTTCTTTAAAATCCTTAATCCTGCCAGCTGGGAATTCTCGGTCGGGGAGAAGGGGGCCATAAGGGCTCACCCCCAGGATGTGCGGGGGGGGGGGGGCGGCATTGCTGTCAAACAGCTCTCAAGAGGTTTGTCTTGTCTTGTCCCTTGCAAGCCCCAGCCTGGTGTATGCTCAGCTCGGCTCTGGGAGGCCTTTCATTGAAAGGTGGCCCTGTCCTGTCCTGGACTTGACCTTAAGAAGAAATTGGCCGGATCACTGGGGAGGAAGGACGGCCCAGTGGTTAGAGCACTGGCTTGGCTCTAACCACAGGCGATGGGTGTCTTCTCGGGGCTGCAGTTCCCCGTCTGGACCATGGGGATAACAGCCTGGCCCTACCTCACAGGGGTGTTGTGAGGACGAACCATGGCAGCGTGTGGGGGGCTCAGATACTGGTGGGTACCATGTGAGCACTGTCTGTTGATAATTGCTAGCATTGTCTTCAAAAGCGAACGTCCTAGGGGAGTGTTGCAGGGTGGGATTTGTGAGGGGGCTGGGGGGGGCACTGCTTTGTGCGGCGGGGGCGGGGGGAGATTTCCCTGCCCTATAGCTGCTGCCTTGGGGTTTGCTTCTGTTCTCTGCTGCAGGACGGGGGGGAGGAGGGACTCCATGGGGAGGAATTAGCAGCTCTCTGGAGCTGCAGGGGATAACTGCTTTTCGGGCATGGTCCCAGACAGAGAGGAGCTTGGGCTGCAGCACAGATCTCGCTGTGGGAGCCTCAAAAGGCCTGAAACGTAGAACCCCGGTTCAGCCAAGAATTTGGGGGTCTCGTGAACAACCCCCCACCACCACCAAAACCCGCTTTCATTTGGGAAATGCCACGTCCCGGTTCAAAGGGGACGTTCGGCCCACGCTGCGAAGTGGGTGGGTGTCGTCACCGCTGGGAGGAGCGCATCCTGGATGGGGGTTTGCTGCCCTGACTGCCTGGAACACCGATCGCCTCTTGCTCAGGCCGGACAAAGAAACCGCACGATACAGCCACTCGGGAGGCTCCTGGAGAGAGAGGCTGGAAATGCTGACACGGCGCTCACAGCCGGGCCGGTGGCATGAGCGGACCAGGTGCCTCCTTCCCTGCATACCCGGCTCTGGCTTCATTCCTTTCCCAGCACGTGCTCCCTTCAGTCAACCTTCGCCACCTTCCGTGGCTGTGCACCGTCCGTGGGGGGGCTGCAAGCCTTGGTGTGCCCTGGCCGCGGATCTGCAGCCCAACGAAACCTTCGAGGGAGAACCAAGGAACCAGGCGCTTTGCTGAACAGATTCAACCGACTATGGGACTGGGGCGACTGACCTCCGTGCAGGCTCCATAGGCCTCACCCGTCACACCAGCCAGGCGTTGCACTCAGCCCCGGGCACAGCAGGATACGGATCGTGCCGTGTGGATTGTGACCAGTGCAGGGGGTCTCCCGTTCCCTGCCAAAGCAGAGGATCGCGTTCCCTATTCAGCACCGGAAATGTCCAATGGGTGATTGTATTTTCATGCATTTAACCAGGGAGAAAATTCTCTTTGCCGGCTGTAGCCCCAGGGGAGGGGAGGCAGGATCTATTTAGAAAATACCCAGATTGATCTGAGCCGTTGAGGCGCTCGGCTCCAAGCTTGAAGGTTGTGGGGTTGAGTCTCTCTTGGTCTCATCCAGCAGCTGCCAAATGGGCACCTGCTCCCTCGGCTTAGGGCAGTCGAAGGCGGTCGGACGTGCTGCTGACCGCATCGCTCCCTTGGCTAGGAAACCGACGGGCCTTAACGGCATCAGCCCCGTTGGCTTGGGGGACCTTCAACTTTCTGAACCCAAACAACATGGAGTCTTTCCAAAGGAACAAGGGGCTCGCGCTGGAAACGGACAAGGACGGGGGAATAGAGACTGACCAGCAGGGAGAACCTTCGTAACACCTGCTGGAGGACCTGGCCCCAGGGAAGAAAGGGTGGGCGACCTGTTGCCTGGGACATTTAGGCGGAGATTAGGGGATTTGGATGCCTGGTTCCCAGTCATTTTAAGAGCCTCCCTCCCCCCCCCCCCCATAGGCGGCTCTGAGAAGCCTTCAGATGAGTCTGGGAAAACACTAGTGATTCTGCAGCAGGGCCCAGTCCTGCCTGTGCCCTGGGAGCCGGACGAAACGGGATTTAGGGTTTGAGGTCAGACTAGGTCAGCCAGCGATCACGTCTGGCTTTATAATCTATGCCTTTGTGGCCGGGTCCTTCCCGCTCCTCCCTGCAGTTTGTGAGAGGTTCCCGTGGGAGAGTCCCTGAGCCCAGCTGAATCTCAAAGACAGGCTGGAGAATGTGATGCCCCAGTGGTAGCGATCGCAGGTGCTGAGATGAGGACAATCTCCTCTCATGTCTCGGGGAGGCAGACACCTGCCACGGCATTCCCAGCCAACCCCTAGGTTAAGCAGGTGCAGCTCCATCCCTGGTAACGTCCCTGCGGCCCTGCTCTGAGATCCCCTGTGCCCTGCTTCTGCTCTGCCTTAGCTGCTAGGCCTAGCACCTGGAAATCCGGGCCCCAAAGCATTACCAGAGCGGCCAGGCAGGAGGAAGGTGCCTCGGTGGGCTGGGCTGAGCCGGCAAACCCCAAATCCCCAGTTTGATCTTGATCCTAAAGGTCCTTGTGGGGACGTTTGCGGGTCCTGTCGGTTATAATGCTGGAGGGTATTTTATTTCCCATCCATACGTCTTTATTTCCAGTCACCGTTCTGAAGATATCAGGGGCCTTCAATGGACGGGATCTAAGCTTTCCAGGGTCTTATTCACCCCACCCCGGGGCTGAAAGCTTCCCCCACCCCGTCCGTGGGACGCCGGTGATTTGCAGTTTCCGTGGTATAGAAATACGGGGAACGGAGGGCAGAAAGCGAATGG